TTTGTGCCAATAAAAAAGGATATTTTTTGTTTTTTTCCTTTTTTGGTTTGTATCACCGGCGCAAATAAGTAAATCGGTGTACTACACGATCTAAAACTAGAAATTTATTGATATTCTACTCAAATTATATCTTCACTCATTTATAGCAACTGCTCCTACCTACACTATATACCTTTTATAACTCTAACCAACCAAATATAAACGAACTTTAAATTTTTTTTCGATATGGCACACATGATCACGTGCCGGCGAAAATTTTGGTGGCGATCTAGGGGAAGAAATTACAACAATATTTTTATGTTGAAATTTTGGTTAAAAAGGTTCGTACGTGACTAAAATCAGATATCTAATATAACTTAGTACGTAAAATGAAATGATACACTGTAATTTATCGCAAAGTCGTAAATTTTTATTGTAAGTTTAGCCCGAGACTTTAATGTTGGTATCATACCATCGTTTTTTTCGTAATTTTATTGAAAGTAAAGCCGGGGTTTTTCGTAACTAAGGATGGTAAAGTTCTTAGGCTCAGAACCGTAGAACCGGTTTAGAACCTAGTTTTTTAAAAACCAGGTTCTAAATTTGAAACCAAAGTTTATAAGTAATAGATTCCAGTAAAAGAGAAAATGATCTTGTCACTGGCGATGACATAATGTAACAATCATTGTTTATGTTTACCAATGTGCTTCTCAGATATACTTTCATCGTTATTGATTTGTTTTAGAGTCGTCTCAATTTATGTAATTTTGGAGTTTTTTTTATGATTCTTAGAAAATCAAATATATATAAATCAAATCTATATTGTAAAAGTTTAATATGAATTAACTTTTTATTAATATATTTTTATTTTTTGTCTTACAAAGTATTAATCAGGTTTTTAAAATTTGGTTCTAAACCAAATCAGATTTAACTTAGGTTTGAAACTTATTATATAAAACCTGATTTTTAGGTTTTTAGCTTGGAACTTAAAGGCTTAAACCTAAACTAACTTTAGCATCCCTCTTCTTAACCAATGACACTTGATCAACCGTAAATTTGATTGCGTCAACGGCAGGGCGTGTACGCAGATAATACATGCCGGTTTTAAGACCTTTCTTCCATGCGTAGCTATGAATATCATAATTGTCAAAGTTATCACGTGTGTTCTGAACAGTATTCTCCTTATGCTTACAACCGATCAAATGTAGTTAGGATTGGGGCACAGAATCGTTGGATATACCTTCAGGTCGGAGAACATACTTATTCTCTCAGTGCATAAATTTCTTGGGCATGCCAGAGGATCTCGCGCCCCAAACCCTAAGTTAGGGATTGGAACCGGTTTAGTCGATTAAAACTTAATGGAATTAAATTGCTATGTTTAGTCAACTAGTTATTAATCGACTAAATATAATAGTCTACTAAATCGATTCCAATCCCTACCCTAAATGCAATATAGGTTATAAGCTCCACTGGTTACTGATACTCATTGAGTCGTGCGATTATATGGAGCTTGTTAACCTATTCCATACAAATTTATGGACACTTACAAATGCATAGATGATATTTTGCCAACACTCGGTTCAGAAAGAAATACGTTCAATGACTGCGATTGGTCAATGAATGGTGCTCGGTCTGCTGCAAAATCTATAAGAACCCTTTGTGGTATTTCCCAAATTGTTTTATAAAGTTTCTTTAAATCATCATCCAACTCTTCAAAACTTTGAACAGAGCCATTAGCAGCGATTATTTCATTCTTCATTTTTTCATTCCAAATACCCATTTCGGTCAAATCATTGAGTAAATGATGGTTCTAAACAATGTAAATGTTAGAATTATTATATTTAATATTTATAATTAATTATTGTTAACACAATTATTCTTTATCGTTACCACAACTTGGAATTCTCCGCTTAAGACACGACGCGTGTAAATATTACTCGTGTATGGTTCAAAACATTCATTATTACCAAGGATTTGGCTAGTGGAAGCAGTTGGCATTGGTGCTATTAATAATGAATTTCTTATTCCATGCTTGCGTATATCCGCTTTTAATTTTATCCAATCCCACCGATTAGACGGTTCGACATTCCACATTTCATATTGAAGAATTCCCTGACTTATTGGCGATCCCTCATAAGTTGCATATGGACCCTCCTTTGCAGCAATTTCACATGATGATTCAAGTGCGGCATGATACAATGTTTCAAATATATCACGATTTAATTTACGTGCATTTTCAGATTCCCATGGATAACGCAGCATAATTAAAGCATCAGCGAGACCTGAACGTGATATAAAATTTAAAGCTAAGAAATATGTTAATTCTCCAATATAGCAAAGTAAAATATTTCTTGCCTTGAACGCCAAGACCTACACTAATAGTAACAAGAAAAAAATGAAAATATTTCAAAGGATAAATAAGTCTCTTCATGATATGAAATTTAAGCCACGCTTATACTTACGGCCTATGCCTCTTGTTACTTTTCTCAGCTTCAGGAACAGGATAATAGTTCTTATCAATGACCTTATTCAAGTTTCTGATGACAACTTTGGCTATTTCATGAAGTTTATCGAAATCAAAAGTCTTCGTTTTGCCATTAACAAATTTAGGAAGTGAGATTGATGCTAGATTGCACACTGCTACTTCGTCTGGGGCAGTATACTCTATAATCTCCGTGCAGAGATTAGAGCACGTGATAGTTCCAAGATTCTTTTGGTTTGACTTTTCATTACAGGCATCTAAAATTGTTGAACATTATTTCAGAACTCAATAAAGGCAATACTTGATCAAGATTTTTCTTACCTTTATAGACCATATAAGGCATCCCAGTCTCTATTTGGGAATCAACAATAGCAAGCCATAACTTTTGTGCCTTGATTGTTTTACGTGCCTTTCCTTCTTTTTCATATTTAGTATATAAATCATCGAATGCTTGACCATAAACACTATCAAGACCAGGGCATTCATGTGGGCAAAATAGTGACCAATCCTCGTTTTTCTCCACTCCTTTTGAATAATAACATTAATACGTACGTACTGTACATGAAATTAATAAATAGTAAGCAGTCTACAACATACTTTTCATAAAAAGATCTGGAATCCAAAGTCCTAGAAATAAGTCGCGTGCCCTAATTTCTTCCTTTCCAGTATTTTTCCTTAGGTCAAGAAATTCGAATATGTCCGAATGCCAAGGCTCAATATAACTATAAAATATGTGTATGTAAATATAAAAATAAAACAATCACTTGTCAGATCTTAATAATACTTACACCGCAAAACTACCATTTCTCTTTCCACCACCTTGATTTACGAATCGTGAAGTGTCATTGAATACGCGAAGCATAGGGACAAGGCCATTTGAAGTCCCACCGGTACCGGCGATATACGATCCAGAAGCTCGGATTTTTTGTGTGCTAATTCCAATACCGCCGGCCGACTTTGAAATTAATGCGCACGTTGTAAGTGTGTCGTAAATGCCTTCAATACTAAATAATGTCTATCATCACTATTTTATCATAATAGTTCGCTAAAACGTAATAATATTATAATATTATAAAAATACCTGTCATCCTTCATCTGTATCAAAAAACAACTAGACATTTGAGGCCTCGGTGTACCAGCATTAAATAAAGTAGGACTCGCGTGAGTGAAATATTTTTCAGACATTAGATTATAAGTCTCTATAGCTGCATCGATATCATTTCCATGAATACCAATCGACACACGCATTAACATATGCTGCGGTCTTTCTACAACTCGCCCTATAATAGTATATAACTACATAAATTAGTGTAATTCTCTTATAAATAACTATTCTTAATCACCTACACACCTTCGATTTTCATCAAATAACTCTTTTCCAAAGTCTTGAACCCAAAATAGTTATAAGCATAATCTCTATCGTAAATAATCGCCGAATTTAACCTGTCTGCATTCTCCATAACAATATCATATACTTCTTTTGAAACTAAAGGTACATGAATTTTTCGTGTAGGATTGACGTGATCATAAAGTTCTTGGATAACAACACTGAACTAAATTACCAAAATCTATGTCATTAAGCATGCCTCTAAAAAGGACTCATAAAATTATGATGCGATACTTTACTTGTTTCGTCGTTTCCTTGTGTAAATTTGATATAGCAATTCGAGCCGCCAAAATAGCATAGTCCGGATGATTACACGTCAAATAAGCTGCTGTCTCAGCTGCCAGGTTGTCTAGTTCGACAGTTGTAACACCTTGATACATACCACTGATAACCTATGTTTTAAAAGGGTTTAAGCAGGCAAATGGTTTGTAAATACAAGTGAAATACATTCTGTACCTTTTGTGATATTTTTGGAGGATCAATGAACTCCATATTTAAACCGTAACATAACTTAGATATTCTTGAAGTAATCTTGTCAAAATAAACGCGTTCTTTCCTTCCGTCTTTTGTAAACATTAAATTTGATATAATAAGATAAATCGAATTTTTCAAATAAATATTGAGAGCAAATTTGTAACAAGCGTAATAGTCGAATTTTTTTATAAGCTACCTCTTTTTAAAACAAACATGTTTCTATGTTCTAGTAGTTGTTTATATAGACTTAACAGTATCAAAGATTTCGTACTATACTTCAAAAGATATTATTACTTTAAATCTAAAAAGAAACAAAATAATTTTCTACTACGGTGTATTTATAGCACTATCGGTATAAAACGCGTCTGACGTATAAACACGTAAAAATTATTATTATAAATGTTTTTGTGCACCTGGGTTGCAATATATCCTTTTTTGAAATTTTTCATACTAAAACGCATGGAGCTATCTATAGTGTTTTACACCCATGAATACATTATTTCAAAAACTGGCTAATTAATTAGTGCAGGGTGTTCTAAATAAAAATATTCTATGCCTAACCTAATATGAAACTTTTTGCATTAAAAATTTATAAAATATATGGGCTAGGTGCTGAGAAAAGGGCAGTGATTATTTTTCGCTGTGCGGACTGTGCGCAGTACACAAACAAAATGTTGCGCACATTTTTTTTGAGGATGCCGCAGAAAAAATTAACATTTTGTAAGTAGTGCGCACACTTGTAAATATATAGTTGCTTATAGATTTTTTTTGATTTTCCGCACAGAAAAGGTTCTAAATTGTGCGGTATCTGCACAGTAAATTTTAACTGAAAAATTAACTCTGGAAAAGAGACAATTTTTTTTAAATGTTTTTTTTTTGCATAAATCAATTTAGAATAAGATTAAGATCATTTTTTATTTAAGACACAAAAGTAGTTATATTAATAAAATTTTGCAGTATAGCTTTTTAAAGTTTACATTTTCTGTATTTGTAACACCTATTATATATAAGCCAATCAGATTTTGATTTAGGGTTTGGGTTAGGGTTATATGAATTTTTAATTATTTTTTATTGGTTGTATTAATTTAGGTGTTACAAATAAGGTGTGTAACAGAGTGTTACAATTAAATTCTTTTTTTTTTTTTAACATTTAGTCTATATATATAATAAAAATAGGGAATGTTTATTTCCACTATGGTATTTTGCTATTTCCACCATGGTTACACAAAAATTACTATTTTTAGCATTTAATATAGAAAGTATAATAAATTAATATAAAAAATTAATTTTTTTAAAATTAAAGAAGTTTTTTATTAAGTTAGGGTCTGTTGAGCTTCTAAGTAAAGTTGTAGAGAAGATT